ACACACACACACACACACACACACACACACACACACACACACAATAATTTAAAAGAAAAAGTGGAGGGCCACAGGAAGTTGGCAACTGCTTGATGGCAAGGAGTCGTTACATGCTGTCCTACATTGTCTTGTTTAAAACCATTCTTCTGTTTTTCAAAGGAAATCTATAAACCAATCTAACATGTTACCCCTCTTCTTTGTGGCTCCTTTTCCTAAGTATCCCCTCACCCACTCTGGGAGATTAGCAGTGCTCTGCAGTTCTTCACAAGATATTCTTGCCCTGTTACATGGTCGTAGGAGTTTGAGGGACATTTCCTCCTCAAGAAGAGAAGTGAAATCACTGAGGCAAGGCCTGGCTTAATTGAAGTGGCAGTTTGAGCCAATAAACTAGTTGTCTGTTGGCATCTTAATGGGAGGCTATTACCAATTCTCAATATTTGACATTTCATATTTTTTTTATAATACTAAAAAAAAAACACCCCAACAAACCCTAACTATTTTGTACATTAAGGACGTGTGTCTGACAGTAGCAAACACTGAGGTTTTGAGGAGTGCACTGCTGTGATGGTTAAGGTTATGTGTCAGCTTGGCTGGGCTGTGATCCTCATCAGTTTGGCAGTAATGCCCTATTGTAAGGTGGCGATTATGCAATACAGTCATCCACCTTTTTGTCATCTTATGTGATCATCCTCCATATTTTGCCTAATAATCTGATCTTTGGAACCTACCCGTGTCAGAAAGTGAGGCAAAGGTATGTTACCTTTTCACATAGAAAGTAGGTACAGTAAAATAAAAAGATGTTTGAGATCTGCATACCAGTTCTATAGTGCAGCTAAGACTATCATATGAAAAACATATATAAAGGCAATTGCAGTCTTAGTAGAAAGAGTTCAGGAGATTAAGTTTTGCTTGCATAATAAACATTAGAAGGATTCTTTGTGGCCCTTCTAGATTGCTTTTGAGTAATCTTATACTTGGTTTTTGTGGATATACATTTAACAAGAAACTTCACATGCATTTCTTCCCACTAACTGACCTTAGATGAAGGACCTTGGCACTTTTTCTGGGAACAGGGCATTAGTTAATGCTGCTTCCCACCCAGCCCTGCCCAGTGCCTGATGGCTGCTCTGCCATATCCTGTGCTTAATGACTTTTTTCTTGTTGTCATTAGATCCCCAAGAGGTGAAGAAAAGTGCTGTGAAGGAGCTTAGGCCCAGCTTAGCTCTGCACTGAGTCTTGGGGAGGGTGGGGACAGCTCTTAGGACAGCTGTGATTGCACACAGATGGTATTGCGTGTGAGTCTGCCAGGCCACTCCTGGAAGGCAGTACATGGTGTGAACAGGGCTTAGCATCAGGGGTCAGCAGGTCAGTGTTGAGTCCCATCTCTACCATTTAGTCTACCTTAGTACACATAAATGGCCTGATTAAGCCTCAATTTTATTATGCTTATTTAGAGCAGACACTCTGGGGACCGTGGTACATAGGGAATTGCAGTGTTAACATAAAGGTGGTGCCTCCCTGGCAATTTGAATCCAGTAGCAGCTCAGAGGGAGAAAGTTGGGGAATTGCCTCCTTGTGATTTAGAGTCTCTGAAAACTGCTGGAGGGTCAGCTGTGAGTCAGTTACAACTCAACAGGAATGTGTTTGAGTTCTAAAAATGGACAGTCAAATCTGTTGCATGGTTTTAGCAATAGAGAAGATATGTTTAAGTGCCACATATAGTTCTGGCATACAAAAGGTGTTAAGTAAATGATGGTAATATTCTTACTGTTTTTAAGTGGAACTTTGGAGAATTGAGAACTAAGGTCTGAAGTGTTTTCAAACCTTATGAAAGGTACAGCTCTCTGAGGGTGGTCCTCTCAGGTCAGTGGTGATGGGATGGCTGTAGGGAGCAGTGGAGTTCAAACCCTTCAACCTATAATCCTACAAGGCTCTGCCACACCCCAGAGGTGAAAGCCCGCCCAGTTGGCCCCTCCCAGTACTGTTCTTTGAGACATTAATGAGCCTTTCTGCCCAACTCTCAGAGGAGAGGTTAGAGAGAAATTTTTGGCCCATTCTATTATTTACTTCTCAGAAATAAGTGGCTATCAGTAGATACTTAGTTGGTTAGTTGTTTGGAAAGATATTTTTTTCTTTTAAAAACTTTTGTTATTGAGCATATACACAGCAATATCTACATGTACAGATCAGTGACTTTAATTATATTTTTGAATTCTTAAAAGAGCATAATGCTAAAAAGAAAAATTTAAAAAAAGAGCATAATGCTAAAGGTTGTTGTTGGTATGTGCTGTCAAGTCACCTGTGGCGCATAGCAATCCTGTTTACAACAGCCCTAAATCCTGCTCTGTCCTGTGCCAATCTTA